CAAAAGAATTAGTAAAAAATGTTTTAAGATTTTCGACACGAAAAATGAGAAGAAGCTATTCTAAAGAAGTCAAACAAATAAGTGAAATGGTTTGTAAAGGCCTTTATATTTACATTAAGGCATTTCACTACAACATTGAGTTATACATCATTTTACAGTATTTCTGTTTTATAGAATGAAGTTCCAGAAGAGTTGACACAAATGGTAGAAAACTTGTTAAAAAATCAAAATATTTATGATTTGGAAAAGTCTAAGAAAATAACCGAACAAATCACTAAAGAAGGATCTTTTAAATTTATTTTTAATATTTGGGATTTTACTGGTTATACACTTTACTTCCTTTTACATCAGGTTTTAAACATATTATAAATTAATAAGTGATAATTTTTTAAATCATTATTTTAAATTAATGTTTTGCATTTATTAGTTATTTTTCACGGCATATGCTGTCTATATATTGGTAATAGACATCAGTGAAGATTTAGACGCACCCCTTGAGATTGCAAAGGATGACACACTTGTGGTTAGAAAAAATATAAATCAATGAATTAAATACAAACAATACAGTAATGTGTTTTTTATTATATTATGCAATGATCATAGACTGAGTTACATAAGGGGGACTTAAGTACTTTAAATCTAATCCATATGTGGCTGACTGTTATTCACTCGACTGTTGGCCGATATCCCACTCCCAGGGATCAGGTCGACAAAGAAGAAGATGTGTCTGAATACCAGACAACACTTCAGCCTCAAGTGATATTAGTGGCCACTCATCGGAATTCAGTTCACGTCGAGCCCATCACTAGGGATCAGATTATTAAAGAATCGTTTGACAAAATCCACTCCAGTTTAGAGGGAAAGACGTATAAAAATCATTTAAATGATAACTACTTAGCGTTAGATTGCGATGAGATGTCTTACGACGAGCCGATACTTCTGCACGAACTGAGAACTAATATCGAGAAGATTGTGGTGAAGGAAAGGCTGGTGAGTCTGGACATACCGGCGCCGTGGATGGAGTTCGAGCAGATCATCGAGAAGTTGAAGCAAAGGGGCATTTATTTCGCGGACATCAATCAATTGCATGAATTCGCGTGCAGTCGTATCGACGCGTTCCAGTCGTACGACGCGCTGAACGCCGCGCTTCACTTCTACCACAATCAGGGAAAGGTGTTCTGTCTCGACCACATCGGCTACTTCTCACTCTTCGACTCACAGAACGCTTACGACTGCGGAGTCATTATATTAGACCCGAATTGGTTTCTTCAATGCGTTTACAAACTCTGCTCTTTTGTCAAAGAAGTTCCCGACGACGACAACGCACAGTACGGTCTTCTCAGGTAAGCGAAACACATCTATTAGTTCACATCAATTCATTAAATATATCAAAATGTATTTCGCATTGTTTTTTAGCGAAAACCTTATTAACAAGGTTTGGGAGGAATACACAGAACAAAAGTTTATTCTTTTGGGATGTCTTGAAAAATTGGATATTATTTGTGAGTTTGTGTTAATTTAGTCATATTTTTAATTCAATAAAATCTATAAAAATTTAATTTAAACTTTATAACACATTATAATAATTCCATAACTTAATAAATTATTGTCAAATAATGATGTGTTTAGTTGAGTTGCGGCCATACATTCAGATAGAGGACGCACCCGATGTGACGGCCAACACATCTGTGCCCAAATTGTATTTCTTTCCGTGGATCACAAAAGCAGTTCCCGATACGGATCCCCCAAATGCACAAACAAGCGACTCATTTCAGGACTCGTCCTTTCAATTAGTTATTGATTTTAATCATCTGCCAGTTGTGAGTGAATTACATTATTTAGCATTTAATTTATGATATAATTAATTCTTATTTAATTGAATACAAAAGGGTTTATTTTCACGACTACTGGTAAGACTTAGTCGTTGGTCATGGAATCAGGGATGGGGTCGAAGGCCTGAGATGTATAATTCTGAAGGAAGAATAGCCGTTGACTTCGATCACGACATTCTGTTGAAAATTTGCTTAAAATATAACAGAATTTTTCTTATGATTATTAAAATATTCGATGAGTTACAGACGGATCAGATCGAGAACTTCCTCATCGGTCCGACGGCTAATGTCTGCGTTAAGGTATTAAAAGGAATACAAACATAAGTCATGTAACGATTGGTGTAAACAATGTTTTGCATTTCAACCAAAGGTTCAGCATTTGATTGAAACAGAATTNAACCAAAGGTTCAGCATTTGATTGAAACAGAATTGGAAACTCTTCGCAATTCATTCTACCGGCGCCTCAATTTTAAACTAGTGGTTCCCTGTCCTTGTGATGTGACGTGTGAACCCCATAAGATTGACGGATGCAATGACATCGAGTGTCTCCACTTTCTACCACTTAATGAATGCCTCACTAAAAAAGTATTTTCATTTACTTTTAATAAATTATTTTTTAGATAAGAGTATAGAAACAAATTTTGAGGACGATTTAATATTTCCCTATCTATACCTATAATAGAGTATCAATAATATTCCCGTAAATTATAGATTTGACATACTGCACATACAAAAATGAACAGGATTCCTTGATAACTATAATTAAACTAATATGTTATAGCTAAATTACATACTTAACATTAACTAATTGTCTGACAGGTGGTTGAGTGTAAATACAGTAGACAAGTGAGAACTATATTCATTCAACGCTATTTCCCACACGTGCCCTTTAATTCTGGTCGTAAGTACTGCACAACACGTGAAATAAGTGAAGTGAATAACAGAATATTTATTAAATAAGCGGAAGAATCAAACAATTCTGTGTCTAATGGGAACCGAGAGAATGGTTGGGACCATATATTCCAAGTGGAACCGGTTTGGATGAGAGAAGCCGCCAAACTATTGGCTCCCAATCATCCAAATAAAGATTGGATGGCTTTAGCTAAACGTCTCGGTTATAGTGAACGAGATGTCACAAAGTTTGTGGAAGATATCGCTCCCTGTCTGGCACTACTCCGGGATTGGTATGAAACCAATGGTCGGACCCGTTATTGTGTTGATGTTCTTCTGTCGTGTTTGCGAATGATATCGAGGGAAGACATCGCAGCTCTTATTGAATACGATTTAGAGCCAGAAGGGTCTGCACCGCCTGTTTTTATCAGTTATCAAAGGGATTCACAGGACCAGGTCTCAGGTATTGCTGTGCATTCACTCGTGTGTACTCTCTGTGTGTTAATTAAAAGTAATTTTATGCAGAATTGCGTCAAAAGTTGGAGCTAGCTGGATTCCCATGTTGGATGGATACCAGGTTAATATTGATAAACTTTTTTGGAATTTATAATTTGGATGAAACCACTTTTAAATTGAGTTTAACGATATTGTCAGGTCTATGGGCGCCGGGGATTCATTATATGGAAAGATCTACGATGGCATCAGTAGAGCTAAAGTTGTTTTATGGTATTAATTGATAGCACGGATTGATTGTATAAAGCTTTTTATTATAAATTGCAAATATGTTAATTTATTGTTTAGTTGTCTGACTCCACGATACGCGGCATCGCCGATGTGTAGCCGTGAAGTGACTTTAGCTGATGTTTTACACAAACCTATTTTGCCCATTATTATTGAGATGACTCCGTGGCCACCGCCCGGGGCTATGGCTGTCATTATGAGTTCAATCG